AAAAGTACAGTGCTAAACAATAACAAGGATAGTAATACAAGAATTATTCTAGAATGGGTAACATTTCAAAGGTAAATGCTAGTAAAAATTGGGCAAGAGGTAGTGATAATCTTGGGGGAAAATCAAGTATAACAATATACATATATATATATATATGGTTCTGAAAATTGGAATTGAACAGAATCACAAGGAATCATATAAGATTTGAAACATCATTAAAAATAATAGTGAGATATATTCCACCTATTAAATTTAATATAAATTTAAAAATCAAATATGAAATTAAAAAGAATTGTTAGAATTTATATATATATATATTCTAATAAATTTGATATAAAAATAAGTATATGTAAATTGTTTTTTATAAATATTAAACTAGAATATAAAGTACAGCTACCTATCATATTATTGTGGACACTTTTTTACACTTAATTTTTTATAAATTTTTTAATATATATTTATTGAAACTTGATATACTGTATAATATACTAAAATTTTGAGCAATTTCATCCAGTCATGCAAAAGTTATGTGACGATGACTCAGCATTATCTTTTTTGTATAAGACTGAAATGAAAGCAAAAATCCAGTTTTTTTTTTTCACTTAAAATTTTTGCTTAAAATTTTTGTCGAATGTTGCGCGACACGTGAGCGATGTTATGCAAAATTTTAAACAAGGTTTGTGTACCACAGATCACTATAAAAAAAAACAATTAGTTTTTTTCCCTTTAAAATGGATAGCAAAAAGGATTTGATAAAGGGACAAAGAAGTTCTGTCATTTATGGATACCTAAGAAGAGATTCAGTATGTCAGATTGCAATCCTTGTGGACTGTGGAAAGACTGTCGCCTGAATATAATAAACGAGTTTCGTAAGTCAGGTGAATTTGCGCAAAAAAAAAAAAATGTTCTGGACATTCAAGTTTTCTCATCCCACCAATCGTAAAAAACTAAAAAGGTTGATTCAAAGAAATCGCCAATTAACTCTCTTTCAGATCACTACTCTCTTCACAATACACAAAAAAAAAAAAGTTTCTGAAAGTATCATTCGTTGTGCTTTATATAAAGAAAACTTGAGATCATGTGTTACTTGTCCCAAGCCATTTGTTTTCCTTATCAATATCAAAAAAAGATTCAATTGAGCCCATTCTCATGAAGGTTGGACTGTTTGAAAGTTCAAGCATATTCTGTGATCTGATAAAACCACAATTTGTCTTTTTCAGAGCTCTCGCTGTCGAATTTGATGTGAACTGAACGAAAAGTGAGATCTGGAATGTTTGAGTAGCACTACTAATCATAGCTAAGGTTGTATGTACTGGGGCTATTTCTTTTGGTTTGGGATTGAGCCCCTTGTTCCTTTAACGGCCTCTGCCATTAGTGCATCTCATGTAGAGATTCTTTGTGAATATGTTGTACTGTTTTTAAAAAAATATCCAGCAATTTCAAGTTGTGATCGTCCTGTTTTTCAGCAGGATAACGCAAGACCTCACATAGTGAAAATTGTAAGGAAATTTATTGACGAAAATAGGGTTCAGATAATGAATTGGCCTCCCCAAAGTCTGGATCTAAATCTAATCGAAAATCTTTGGTTTGAAGTGAAAAGAGCTGTGCGTCATAAGCCAAAACCGAATAATTTCCAGGAACTTAATGTCATTGTGTAAGAAGCATGGAATGACATATCACTTGAGTTTTGTCATCAGCTGATTGTAAGTATGCCAAATCATGTCGCCGCTTGCCTAGAAGCCACGAGAGAATCTACGAAATATTAAAATAGAATTTTTAGTAAAAAAAATTAAAAAAAAAATAATAAAAAAACTTAAAAAAATCAATTGTGATTTCAGTTTAATAAAAAAATCCATGTCTATAGTCTTTTTCCATATAACTCCTGCAAAATAAAATAAAAATATATAAAAATTTAGTATATGATATCTTGATAATTACTAAACATGTAATAAAAAATTTATAAAAAATTAGTTATTACAATTTTAAATAATTAAGTGTAAAAAAGTGTCCACAATAATATAATAGGTAGCTGTATATTTGAAAACCTATAAGTATTATTTATTATATTATAGAACTATAGATTTTAATATACTTAATTATTAAAATTTATTAAAATTAAAATAAATTATTATATTGAAATCAAATTTAGTAAAAAATATAAAAATATTTTTAAATATTTTTTAAAATATATATACAGTATATATATATATATTTTTTTAAAAATTAAACTATATAATAAAATATAAAAAATATTTTGTAATTTTTATTATTATAATTTATATATAAATATATTAATAAAATATTAATATTAGCTTATTTTTTATATTATAAAAAACATATTTTTAAATTAATATTAAATATACAAATAATAATTATTTATTATATAAAATATTTGTTTAATGACTTTTTAGATAATATATATATAATTTTATAAATTTAAATTATAAAAAATTATTGATTTATTATCAAAAATAACTATTATATTTAAAATAAGTATTAATAAGACTTTTTTAAAAAAGAAATTCAATTATTTTATTATAATATTTTATAAAAAATCAAAAGAATCCACTATTGTTACAAGTTTACTCCTGCAGTGATACCTGGTTTTAATAGATTTGTTGTGATAGGCTACAATTAATTTATTATGTAAAGATTGTTAATGTAATGACAGTAAATATTTTTTATTTAAATAAAGTCTTGCATTTGATGTTTGTTCCCAATAAAAAAAAAAAAAGAAAAATTAAAGGAATCTTTTGATTTAATTAAAAAGTTAAAAATGATATAATATAATTAAATATTTGATATTATTATATTAAATTATATTTATTATATAAAAAATCAAAAATCCTTAATAGAAAAGTATACACATGATGATAAATAATTACTATTCTATATTTGTTTATAATTCGGTAAATAAAAATTATTACATTCGGAATCTTAAAATGATCGTCACGTGCGAACGGATGAACCTTGAAAAAAAAATTTTGTTACTAATATGCATCATATAAATAATTTGATACTATATTTATTTAGTAATGAATAACGGAGTTTACCAAGTCGTATTACAATGATTTCTAAATTTATAAGATCACGAAATAAAGTACATCTGATGAGTGGGCTGTTCTTATTTCATACGTCATAGTTTTCAATTTTTGTGACTAATTGTATTTTAAAGTGAGGATATTATTCTATAATGAGTTGATTGAATAATGAGTTTTGAATCAGCAACAATGTAAGCGTAAATGCACAAGCACTGTCGATTTACATACATGTACTATATATCTATACTTGCTATAAATTTGGTTCAAGAATAGTTTAATCGCTTGAATTTTTTCAAGAAAATGTCAGATCATTTGGTAAACAAACACTCATCATCACAGCGAAATCAAAAGAATTTACCAACCCCTTCTCCATTTTTATCAACAGACACAACTTATCAAAGGCTTCAAAACATATTAGATTCGTTATCCTCGGGCATTGACTCCTTAGTCACGGGTTTTTGCTCGGTCTGTCTTCAATTCATCGACGATTTCCAAAAAACACAACATAAACATGAAGAACCATTCATACTGACCGAAGAAGATTTGTTTGATAGCGGATCTTCGAATCCATTATTTCTTGGGGATTACAGTTATGACGACATTGACGAGAATTTACAAAAATATCAAATAAAGAGGGGCCTATCTGAGCGAGGGTACAACAATATCGTAATAGACATGGATACTACAGATTATTGGGTTCACAAATTGTGCATAAGCGACAAGAGTTTGTCGTTGGGAGATAATAAGAAAAATCCAAATGTTATTGTTGATAGCAGAGACTACACGAACAGTGAGAATGAGAATATATTACTTTCTTTACCGCAGAATGATCAATTCCTAATTGATTTGTTTATAAGAAAGAAAGAATTCTCATTTTCTGATTTTAAGTCTTATCAATTAATGAGAAGAATTGAAACTTATTATGAGAACAAAATCAACGGTGGAAATAATGAAACTAGTTATAGTAACAATCAGATAAAAAGAATTCATTATATTGACGGGGAAGGAGCGACGCAGGTTTACATGTTTTTTGAGAAAGAGCTAACAGGAACATACTTATTGTCATCAATCGAATGGATTTGTATGCAAGGTACATAATAACTTAAGGATTATTTTTTGTACCTCCACATTTGTTATAGACTTTTTTTTTTTTAAATACGTTAGATCCACGAAGAAATTTTTCGAAAGATCATCCCCAATTTCCAGGACAAAATTATCCTGGACTGCGTGTCGGCAGGAGAGTTGGAAATATGCTGATTGAATTAGAAGCGTCGAAAGGTTCGTATCGAAGGCATCAGATACATCGAATGAGACTAAAGACAATTGACAATTAAATTTCCATGTTTTTTACAGGAAGAGATGGTCTCAGCAATGCTCCTGAATACTTTCACAACGCCTTCATGTATCACACGCAAAACTTTCGATTCTTGAATCCTGCTTATCAGGCTTATTTTGATTGTCTATGTGGTAAGAATCCGTTTTTTAACAAAAACGTATTTATTTGTACGAATCGATGCCAAAATTCATTTTTTTTTTAAAAAAAAATAAAATAAAATAAACTTAGATTCTCTATCCGAAGATTTAAAAATTCACGGATTATCAGCAGTTTCGTGGGCATTCCAGAATGGTCACGTGAAAAACACTAATGGGGATATCGAAGTGTAAGTTATTCATCATCAAATTACTATTATCATTTAGCTTCCATTCATATTTGCGCTCTTTCGACAGGTGGAATCCAGAAGATCAAATTTATCCGACCTCATCAAAACTGCAGTTATATTTTTCTTCCAGCGGTTATCAATGCATATACAAAGCTTTCCGTAAACGTGGATATCACGTGTCAATAGATTGGAGTGATGCAAAGGAAATATGGAAATACAGTCTGAAAGATTTTTCAACTAGTAATGCTAAATATTCTTTAACCTCCTCCTTATGAAATACTAGCATATTCATTTTTAATAATTTAATTAATAAATTATTTTGATCGATTTGTATTAGTATAAATTTTGCTAAATTTAATTTAACGTAATCTAGTTGTTTTGATTTTTCTAACTTTTCGGATAGATATTAATAATTTTTTACGAACCAAATTTATATTGGCATACGGCATAAATAATACATTGTAGCCTGTAATTTTTCTAATAAGCTTGATTTTTTAAATAAATTATATATATAGTACATATCTTTTACAAATTGCTACTATTATATAGTTTAAAAAATTAAACAAACTTGTTATATTTCCAGACTGTATATGTTTCACAAAAACCTAAAAAAATAATTTTTTTAATTTTTTTTTTATTGTAAAAACTAAAATATCTTTATCAATTGCTTTATATTTATTATTATTTAGTTATAAATGAACATGCAAACTGTATCAGAAATTCAAACCCACGAAAACTTGTTATTTTTTATTTTATATATAAAGTTATATTGATAGGAAAATTCTTATTACGTAGTTAAATGATAGATTATTTATTGTAATAGTTTTTCTTTATATAAATACTGCTGTTTAAATTCTTATAAATTCTTTAATATTTTTAAAATATATATATATATTATACTTTCTAATTACGTAATAAGAATTTAAAAATAAAAAGACTTAATTCTTTTTTTATAGTAATATTAACTAAAAATTCAATTTGATTTTATTTTATTCTTAATTTTCAAGTTTATATTAAATTTAATATGTGAATTATAATTAAGAATCTTAACAACTCAATTCAATTCTTGATTCTCAAGTTTATATTAAATTTAATATGTAAACTATAATCTATCATTATTTTTAATAATGTTTTAAAATCTGTTTAATTCCAATTTTCAAAACTATAATTATAATTTATTATCATTTTTAATAATATTTCAGATCTTATGCAAATTTATACAAGTCTGTTTAATTTCAATTTTTGAAACTATAATATCTACTCAACATCTTGTTTTAATAATATTATAATTAATATTTCAATTAATATTTCAAAAATATTTATATAAAAGAAATTTCAATTATTTACTATATATTTTTAATCTTATTTCTAATTATTATAACTTATTCTTTAAAAAAACTTTAAATAAATATATATAATTGTTTAATATTATATAATTATTATATTAATTTAAAAATTTTTTCTAATAGAGATTAAATAATTACTATAAATAAACTAATATTTAGCTTATTGTAAATTTTATATAAAAAAATATTATTTCTTTTTAAATTCATATTCTGTAATATAAAATTAAATAAATAATAATAATAATAAATACAGATTTTAAAAATAATTATGAATATATATATATTTATTTATTCAATAGATAAATATTATTTTTTTTGTAATGGTATGATATATTAATTATCAATAAAACCTTGTGTTTAATACCTTTAGCCAATTAAAAAAAATAAATATTATTTTTTTATTTGTTTTATATAACATAAAGTAATATATTATGAAAAAAACAATATCTTTTATATATAATAATATCAAGTTTAATACTAACTTATTTATACAATTTATATTTAGTTAATATTAAAAATAAAATTTAAAACAATATTGTATATACTAAATATAACTATATAATAATTATATTTACTTAAAAATAAAATAAAAAATTAAATTAAAATTAAAACTTAACAATTATATATATAAAGTTTTTTCTAATTAACAAGAATTTATTAAAAAAAAATCAAAAAAATATTATAATAAAAAATCATAAGCTCTATTATTAGCTCTTAATTTCTTTTATAATAATTATATAAAAAATTAAATTTTATAATTATCAAAAATATTTATTTAATATTAGTTATTAATAATCTATTAAAAACATTTAATAATATATAATAGTTCATATATTTGAATTTTGTTAATAAATATTGATAAGTAATTATAAATAATTAAAATAAAAAAAGATTATTTTTGTTATCAAATATAAATTATATAAATTTAGTATTATATTTTTTGAACTTTATAATATATTAGTATATTTTAATAACTTATAAATAAAATTTTGTCATTTTATAAAAAAAATTTATAGAAATCTACTATATATTATTAATTTGAATTTAGAAAGTTTTGTAATTAAAAAATTGAAGATTAAAAGTGTAATTATTTTGCAATTACTGTTCTATTATTTTTTGTTTTATATTTAAAGTTATATTAATAGAAAAAATCATTATTAAATAATTAAATAATAGATTATTTATTGTCATTACTTTTTCTTTATATAAATAGATTGTTTAAATTCTTGTAATTATTCTAATACTGTATATTAAAAGTATATGTAAAAATACTATACTCTTTAATTATAAATATTTAAAAATAATTATTAATATTATTTAAATATTATTAACATTTCTTTTGACAAGTTTATTACTTCTCCAGAGTAATTTCATATAATAACAAATAAGTTTTTTTTACTTCTCTACTTGAAACATATGATTTTTGTTTAGTTAAGTTTCTTACTAATCTTTTTTCTTTTTTTTTCTATTATCTATTTTCTTAAACAGGTTTTATTGCTTTTTTCTTTTTCTTTTCATTATTCATTTTTCTTAAACAGGTCTTACTATTTTTTTTTATAGTTTGAATATTCTCTTCATAACAAATACTGAAGCAAGTAAGTTAATTAGTTTTTATTTCTTTTGATCACATCTAATAATTTTTCCAACTATTAAAAAAGGAAAATTTTAAGCAATATAAAATTTTTGGGAAAGAGTTTTATTATTATTATTTTATTATTTATTTTATTATTTTTTATTTTATTATTTTATTTTTTTTTTTATTTTTTATTTTTTTTACCTGAGATAATAAATTCCAAAAGAAAAAAAGAAATAACTGATAATCGTTTGATTGCAGTAAGAGTAAAAAGAAATAAATAGCGATCAATTGATCCAAGTGGAAGCTAAAATCCAAAAATAAACAGGTAAGCTCATTTAATATCATTGTTGAATAAATTCTAAACTATGCTAGGCTAATGCTCCGTTTTCTTTCTCTTTTCTCCCATTATTATTATATTTTATTATTATTATCATGTATAATAAAATTTAATTGTCATTTTTTTGTCAATACTATAAGTGATGGTGAATAGAATTGTATAAATGGCAGTTAATAAACTATACTTACACAATGATAATTAATAAACTTAACCAAATTGAATATTGTCAATCTTTAATAGAATCGCAGAATTGGAAATCAAGGAAAATAGAGAAAAAAGTTTGTTAGTAATTTTGTTAAGTCATATATGCTTCAAGAAGAATATCAAGACCTAACTTATTGTTATGCAAGTACTGGTCCTGGATTTGCAATAGAGTTGTTAATAACGATAACATTTAGTGGTGACCATGAGATACAAGAAGTGATGTCATTTACTTCATGATAAAGTTCACGTATATCAAAAGTAAAAACCCTTAATTAATGACAACCAATTATACCGAAAAAAACATTTTCACAAAAATAAAACATTACCTCTTTCAGAAACCAGTGCAAGAACTCTTGATTACTAATAAACAAATTTCTCAAAACCAGTAAATGCAAAATAATACTAAAGAATGGTTAAAACCATTAGTTAATGATTTTACAAAAGTTAGTGAATGCATTTACTAATTTAAATATTCATTGTGCAGATTTGGAGTAGAAAGAAAAGACATATTTAGGGCTGAAGTTCTATCTGCCAAAGTTAACAAATGGACAGATGAGAAAAAAATGAGAATAGTGACTATTTTCAAGATACCACTATAGAAATATTATCAGATACATCTTACCTTCTGAATGATCGTGATTACGAAAGAGCTTCGTACCGGCCTTCTTGCATTATTTTGTATCATGTCCTCCTAACAACAATATCAATGGCAAGTGAACTTTCTGAAAATAAAAAAGTGTTAGTGTACATTTATAAGTTTCAGAAGGGAAAGATGGATCGGTGCCTACTATTAGGGAAGCAACGATGTTAGGGGGGATCAAAGTGGCTGAAGATATTATACCACTTATGCTGAAAGAGAATTAACTTCGTATGGTTATAGTATAAATAGGTTAGGGATACCGGTCGAAGAAATAAAAAAAAGTGACACTATCTGTAGGGATACCTAGTTAAACGAGAGATCCTGTTATGATAAGTCATCTGCTTATGACAATATTGATGACATCCATCAAATTGTATAATCATTATGATCAAATAGAGGCATCAGAATCAAAAGCAGACATCATTTAAAGAAAAACAAATTTTTGTTAATGCCATGGAAAGAAAATCATCACAGGTGTTAAGTGAAGGCCTGATCTCGAATAATGAAACTAAGAAGGTACTTACTAATGAAATCGATCTTATGATGCAGATAATAAAAACACCTTGTGGAATAGAGGTTCATATAAGAAAGAAAGATAAGTTAAAACAAGAAAGAATGACTTATATCCTTTGAGGGAGATGAAGCGACAGGAGAGACACGTAGTAGTTTTAACTCCAATAATAAAATACACTGAAGATATCAAGCCCCACCATGTATTCCTATGTTTGCTCTAATCTCCCAACCTTTCCTTTTACAACTTCCAACCGATCTTATTTAGGCAGCATCGACGATTCTCTCCATTAAGCCACTCATACAGCAGGGGTATAATTCAATGGTCTATCATGCATCTTTTTTGGCGAGGTAGCCTTCTTTCCCCACCTGTTTTTTTCAATTTCCTCCTCCTGATGTCAACAACTCATATAGTTCTTTCCTTCTCAGTTTCATAATCCTTTTGGGATTTTCTTCAATTACTATTATCAACATTTCAAATAATTATTTTGAGCTTATTATTATGTAAATTTATTAATTACTAGTAATAACACTTTGTAAATTTTACTTTAACTAAAAATTATTTTATTCATATCTATTAGTTTCTATATTTATAATTATATAATAAAAATTTATTGGACATAGTAAAACGAAGACAAATAAATATTCACCAAACACAGATA